TCTAACATGTTGTGTTATGTTAAAACTGTTATGGGTCATCTGCAAAGCTGGGATGTTTGTGTACATCACAAAGACCTTTGCCATTCAAGATAACAGAGTAGCTGACAGCAACAGCAGATTGTCACTACGTGTAGAGCAGCAGAAGCAAGCCTGGAATCTAACCCAAACACTGAAAGAAAGGGTGAGGACATGAAATTCCCTGTAGAAGGTCCTTTGCCACTGTTGGCAACAGCAAAATGGAGAAATGAAGGTACATTTGGCTCCACTCCAAGTTCTGCAGGTTTGTTCTCTAATGGCAAAACTTTTCTGCCAGACATCTGTCCTTCCCTTCCTTCTGCTCTCCCCAACTTCTTGCTGCATTCTGACAGTCGGCCTCAGTCCCGTTCAGTAGCTAAATACTGGGAAAAGATTCCTAAGATTTAGGCAGCTTTTTCTGCAGAAAGCCAAACATACTCTGAGAGAAGGGTCTCTCATTAAGCATCACCAAACTTCCCATCTCAAACTTTCCAGAGAAAGATTCACAGGACTTCTCACCATTACAAAGCTTTGTATTTTTTGAGACTCTTTAGTGAAAATTACTGAATATCTTCACCCTGACTTTCCTCAATAAATTCCCACAAAATAGATACACAGCATACTGTGAGAATGCAACCCAAAGACTTAAATATAGAGCAAAATCAAATTATTTCTGACTTACATTATCTCTGGCAACTGATGGTAGAAGATGGTTGGGTAGCACATATAAGAAACAGGAATTAAAAAGTCATGCTTTTCCTGGCCAGACTTTCCAGCAATCAGCTGTTCTGTGATCATCTCAGCAGGTTTTGGCTGGATCAATTAAGTTTAATCTGAATGGGTAATCACACAATGATTCAGTTTAATCTGAATGTGTAATTACCTAATCACTTTTTGGAACCCATTGCTCCTTCTGGCCACATAGCAATGACTTCCACAATTTACCTGTGCTCTGGCCAAACACGTATGATCTTTTGCTTTATCCACACTCGCTACCTGACCATTTCTGTGCTGCCTATCAATACATGTACTATGAAAAGTATTGTCCTCTATTCATCTTCCATCCATATTTTTAGTTTCACTGAGCACTAGCACACCCTTTGCCACTTCTTTTTTAAACTGAAGAGACAGTCTCCCTTTATATGTAACTGACTCCTTATCATCCTTTTCTATGCCATTTTGGTCACTGTTTTTAAGACAGAGTGTCTGAGATGTGGCTGCACTGCAGACTTACCAGACCTATGATACTGTTTTGGCCTCGGTTCCTTCCTTTACATCAACCAACATTTCATTTACCTCACTGCTGTAGAGCACTGGCAACATTTTCAAAAACACATCCACAGTAACTTTAGATGACCTCTCTGCAGTGTAATTATTAATTTGACATTCCTCATTCTGTATTTTCAGTTACAGTCCCCTGTGCATACTACTTTAACCTACCTTGAAATTACCCTGTTGTTAGTTCTTGTGCAATCTTTTGCTGTGACTCCCAGGTTTGACTGTCCTGAATAATTTTGTACTACATTTGCTTCTCCTGTCACCTCGCTCATCAGCTTTTTCCAAATCACTGCTGACTCTGCTGAGCGGACCAGGTTCCTATAAAGCACTTAGGGGAATCCACCGGTAATGGCTTTCCATCAGAAAACTATTTCTTATACTTTAAGGAGTTACTAGCCTAAGAGCGGTCCCTCTGTCCTCCCTCGCATCAGCTGTATTTCTCCAGATAGCTTTGTTTTAGGCCCTGGTTGAAAGATTTTCAAAAAGCTAAAAGCTGGATAATCTTGCTCCACATGCCTGTTGACTTCTCCAGAGAACTCTAATAGACTTACAAACTATAACTCTGTTCTCTGTTAAGACTCACATAATGGAGCAAGCTGCTAAGAGAAATGGCTTCCTAAGCCCTTCCAGACCTTTAATATAGCACACTCATCCAGGTATCTACCATTTCTATTCCATGATACAGTTTCTATCACCTCATAATTACATTTTTTTTTCAGTTCTGTGGCTCAAACAACCTCTCTTTTCAAAGGCTAGCGTCTAATTTGTCATTGTTCCCTCTCCTGGTCATCCAGCAGATTTAAGCACTGGATTACATACCATCATTAGAGGCTCAGCAATTTCATAGCTTCCGGAGAGCATCTGAACAAAGAGCACGTGGCCTTAGAGACTTGTCACTGTTCAATTTATCAGTTTGCCTAAAAGCTCTCCCTATTGACTCTCAGTAGGAAACTGTTTGTCAGATACAGACACATTCACTGCTGAAGGTTCAGCTGTGCCAGCTGAAGACAGCGCTGTCTCCACTTACTCCCCACCGCTTCTCCCAGAGGTCCATGTCCAGTAATCTGCCAGTGAGGCCGCGTATCTGAGTGCTTCTTAATACGCTCCAGGCAAAAGCAGATGGGTTAAACAGTCTAATTGGCAGTTTAGGTAAATTAACCTGGCTGTTTTCCTGGAGCTAATTAGGAAACATGGAAACAAAATGCTCCATTTGCCAACTGATGGGACTGGTAACCTCTGGCAGGAGATGGATTTGATAAGCAGCGATGGGCAGTAGCTTAGATCAGCACAGCAGAAAACAGTGAATGGGGAAGCCCCCCAGCCTCTTTTGCAACACCTTACATCTCCTACCTAACATCTGCGGGCTTTTTTTTGGTGCTGCTTCTACACCATGGGTGTATGTTGTCCTTCCCTTTACCTGCTCCTGCTTTTAACAGTTTTCCTAAAGCTATTATTACTATTTATATAGCTAGTGAACAACCCTACTGAAGACTTCATCCAATCTTCCTTGATATGACTTCACATTTTACATGTTATGGCACACTTTCCTGGATGAGACTTCCATTTTTTGAAGTATATCTTCCTACTTCTGTAAGACTTACTTTATTAAGAATTCCTTTAATACCTCCTCCCACTATTTTGTCTGCAGCATAACTGCTCATCTTCATCTTCCAGGAAGAAAAGAATTCCTTTAGCTTCACACTGTACAGCAAGTCTCTCAGATCACTGTTGCACTATTCTCCTGAACATTCGTGACTGCAAATGTCTGTCTACAATAAAAGAACAGAATCTGGACGCTGTATCCTGGTCACCAAGGCAGACCAGTATTGGGAGAGCCAACGTTACTGCACAGTTATACCACAGGCACCTCCCTGTCTTCAGGAGCTTTTTTCCTCCTGTCTCTGGATTTCCAACTCATCTCTCCAAAGTTCTGTCTTTCCACTCTGATCTCCCTTCCTCCAAGCTTCAGCAACAGTGAAATGCTTCTTGGATGCTAGCTTTGCCTTGGGGAAACTCAGACACTCAGAAGTCCTTCTGCTACAAGTATCACATCACACATACCTTCTTCTGCCCAGAGCTGGCTCTCTCCTGGACCAGAGGGGATGCCCGGGAATGAATTCTCTGATGCAACCTCTGGACCTGCTTTCTGCAAGAAGCAGGGCCCCAGATGTGCACTGGGACAACTGGTTGAGGCTTCGGTCACCACTGAAATGTAGAGCACAAAACAGTTCCTGTGAGCCACGCTGAATCTGCTCTAAGAGGGAACACACAACTGCTTACCTACCAAGTTCCCTTCTCTGCTCTGGCCATGAAGCCAAGCAGGAGGAAGGCGTGTGGAGTAAAATCCAGAACAGAAGACAAAAATAAAGGGAGGCAGAATGCAAACTGGGATTGCACCAAATAGGTAAGGAAGAGTGAGATTCCCCTAACAGACACCAGCCCTCAATCTCTCCAGAGAGCTTGAAACCTGCCTGTCAGCTTCTGACAACAGCAGGACAGATGTTAACTATCGGGAAGCAGCAACCATGTCTGAGAGCCAGATCCTCCCACAACCCCTTCTCCTGTGCCAGAGCTGCTGACCTGTCTGCTGAGCGGGCAGTGAGGAAAGCCAGGAAGATCTGTGCTCCCTCCTGGCGTCCGGCAGCGATCGCAGCCACGAGATCTGTTTGACCAGCTGCAGAAGAAGCGCGGCCACTGCCCCCTGAAGAAAAGAAGATGCAAATCTAAGATCAGAGCCCTGCTGCCTCTGGCTGCCCACTTTGTGAAGGGCAGCGTGGCCACAGCTCGGTCTCGGGGAGGCGTCCCACCCTGCTGCCCTCCCAGCGGGGCACAGCAGACACTGTGAGGCCTGCAGGCACCACGCTCCCCGCCACCCACTCCTCACCCAGGTGACGGCATCCAGCACGGAGTAGCGGGGCACCAGCCCTGGCAGCGGCTGCCTCCTTCCTTCTCGCTCCTGGCCATCCTGGGGCCGCTCGCTCTGACACCTGGGCGCGCTGCAACACCTGCAAAACACCAGGGCCTGTGACCACGACCACCAAGACAAGGCTGTGACAGCAGCCACCAAAGCAAGAGCCACCAAAGCAAGAGCGTGACAGCAGCCACCGAACTCAGTGTGTGTACAGGAGCCACCACACCACAAGCCACCACAGCATGGCTGTGCCCGCAGCCCCCAAACCCAGCGCGTCGCAGGAGCCCCCAAACCATGGCAGGGTGTGAGAGGAGCCACCGGAGCACGACTCAGCACAGTGAGGGCGCAGCAAGCACAGCGAGCAGGGGACAGCAGCCACCTCACAGGGCTGTGCCGGGAGCCCCCGAGCACCGGAGCTGAAGCCGGGGGAGGGCTCGGGGCTGGGCCGGGGCCGCACTCACCGCTGCGAGCCGCGGCTGTCGGGCGGCTCAGAACCGGGACCGGTGGCGGTGGCTGTGGATGTGGCAGCGGGGCCGGGCGGCGGGCGGGCGGGCGGCAGCGAGCAGCGCCCGAGGCCGCCGCGGCCTAGCAGCAGCCGCCACATGGCGGCCGCGGCTCCAGCGAGCGGGCGGCGCTGCCGGGAGACCGCGGCGCAGAGCGGCCCCCGGCGGCCATGCACGGGGCGGCGCGGCCTAGGGGAGCGGAGGGCTTCGGGCAGCGGCTCCGGGAACCGGGGGAACCCGAGGGGCTGCGTGGGTGACCCCCTTGTGGCTTCTCAGGATTTGAAGCGGGGTTGTAAAAAGGGTGGGGAGTGACTGTGCGCGGTCTGGCGTTGATAGGGTGAGGGGGAATGGCTTGAAATGAAAAGAGTTTAAAAAGAGGTTTGGGTTAGGGCTCAGGAGGAAATTCTTCCCTCAGAGGGCAGTGAGGCGCTGGCACGGGCTGCCCAGAGGGGCTGTGTTTGCCCCATCCCTGGAGGGTCAGGGCCAGGTTGATCCTGGGCTGCCCGATCCAGTGGGGGCAATCCCTGCCCGTGCCGGGGCTGGCACCGGGTGATCTTTGGGGCCGCTTCCAACCCCAACCCTTCCACGACTGACTTCCTGATCCAGAGCAGCCTGCAGCAGCAGCTGAGACAGGCCCCTGAGCCAGCCATGGTTTAGCCAAGGAGATGCTGCGTACTGCCAAGCCCTTCTACAGCAAAACCATAGCGTCAGGTGTGATCAGAAACTCAGGTAGTCCTGAAATCGGTGATGTGATTAAGTATAAATGTTCATAAGTGGGAAATGGGTACGTATTTGAAGCACTGGTGGATAGAAATGTGTTAAAAACACATTACACTTGGGTCATGCGTGAGCCTGCCCCCACCTCTTTCACAGGCAGCCCGGTTCCATGCCTATTGCTGGTGGGCTCCTGCCCGCTGCTTGCTGTCTGCCTCCGGGTTTGCTTCGACTGCCTTGCAGCAGGAGATGGCAGAGTTCCCAACCAGCAGCGTGGCACGCCTGTGTGAGAAATAGATATGCTTCATATTCTCTTTACCCTAGTGGTTTCCTTCAGAAGTATGAATATTGCTGCCCCTGTGCTCATTCCAGCTGAACTGTGTACTTTAATGTTTATTTCTTAGTTCCATAGGCACAGAAATTCTTGGTGATTCTGGCAATTTGTCTCTTTTTCCAGAGTATGGTTTTCCCGTTGCTGGTAATTCTTGTTATGAACTCATAGCTCTTGTTCAGTGTAATCCCTGCTATATGCGTGGCCGGCTGCAAGCTCCGAGCGGGGCTTTTCAGCAGATGCAGAATTGTTCTCTCTTCCATCAGCCTAGGAGCCTGCTCTAACTACCAAATTTCTTTTGCCTTTCCATAGCATTTTTATTTTTATTTTTATTTTTATTTTTATTTTTATTTTTATTTTTATTTTTATTTTTATTTTTATTTGTAGTGTCATATATGGGACACACCCTTTATCCTTTTCACCCCAGATTTGTCCTTATACCTTAATTACCAGGTCATTTAGTTGTCTGTTTTGGTAAATGTATCTATGTGAAGCAAAGGATGTTATGATTGTTTCATGTTAGCACACTGGTATCTCCTTGGCTACTAAGTTTGTCTGGGGATGAAGACTGCATGCACGATAGAAATATCGGCACTTTCAGTCTATAATCTTGCCTTAATTTTCTCTCTCATCAAGGTGGTATCAGTAATTAATGCCCCCAGAAAATTCAGCTGTCTTTGTTGGTATCGTTTCATCCAAGATCTCCCAGCTAATCACGGTGTTATCGTTGCTGTTAGTCCTCGTTTTCTTTCAAGTCCCCAGCTGTTTGGTGCGCGATACTCTGTCTTTTCTGCAACTGGCGAGTCAATAGCAGAGCTAATCTGTTTTGATTCATATCATGAGGATGCCACAGGAGCTGGAACAACTTCAGTTGTGCGGTTGCTGCGCATTTATTGCTTTTACTCTGGAGAAGGCAAATAGCTGAATGAAGAGGAGATGAGAGGGAAGCTCTGAGAGGTGAGGAAGGGGCCTGTGCAGAGCGAGAATAAAACGGAGATAGCAAGGGGCAGAGCAAGTGGAGCAAGGAGCAGAGATGTGGGGTAAGGAGGCTAAAGGAGTGTGTGTGGAAGAGAAGTGAGAGGAGCTGTGCAGGCAGGTCGGTGTGTCCCACGTGAGGGCAGCTCCCTGCTTCTTTTCAGGTCAGCTCCTTTGCGTCCTTGCAGCTGGCAGTGAGAGAGTGGAAAGGACACGGAGAATGACGAGGTGATAAGCCATGAGGAATTGCTGCAGGTGCCAGAGCGCCTTGCTGCAGCTTGTCTGATAGCTGGTGGTGGGATTTTGTTCCGTGCTCCCAAGGGTGCTGAGGAAACCAGCTGATGTCATTGCAGGGCCGCTTCGGGAGGTCGTGGTGATCAGGGAGAGGTTTCTGATGATTAAAAAAGGGCAAACTTCATACATGCATTGAAAGGTGGGAAGAAGGATTGGGCAGTTATAAAACAGGCAATGTAACCTCACTCTCTGGATGGTGATGGCACGCCTTCTGGAAACTGTCAGCATGAGGAGGAGAGGAAGGTGATTGCGGACAGCCAGCGTGGGTTTGACAAGGGCAAACCGTGCCTATCCGGCCCGATTGCCATCTGTGATGAGACAGGCTCAGCGAACAAGGGGAGAGCCGTGGGTGTTGTTTACCTTGACTTTAGCAAGGCCTTTGACATTGTCTCCCATAGCATCATCGTATCAAATTGGTGAGGTATGGACTGGATAAATGGACTACAAATCGGATGGAAAATTGCCTGAATTGCTGAGCTCCGATGATGGAGATCAGTGGGCTAGCACACAGAGTGTACCTGAAGAGGCTGGGAGAACTGGGTTTGTTATCACATAATAATTTTGAGAAAATACTTTGCTCTTTAAGGAATATATTTATTTTGGTGCAAGGAGGAAAACATACTGGTTGGAGAAGGCAATTTAACCTCCTTGAATTTCAATGTTTGTTTTTATCACCAGTTCTCAGGCCTTACAAAAGCCTTGGAATTGAACCCACTCTTTTTTATTCATTGGTTTAAACGTTCATTAATGGCAGTCCCCTATTAAAGTCCAGGCAAAACCCACTTATCTGCAAGTTCTTCATAATGTCTTTGAGGCACTTGCTCCTGAAACTTTATTTCCTGGGTGCTGGAACTGTTTACTCCCATCTCTGCTAAGTTAGGTATTTATTTCATCTGTGTTTTCTTTTTCTGCATCTTGAGCAAAGTAACTCGGTGGAACATGTAAGCTTTGATGCACGGTTTTTCTCTAGCTGGAAATTTATGGTTTTTAAAAAAAATCATGCAACTTTGACCAAGTATACTTGAAATGCTGTAATTACAGATGATCTAGTTTCACAGCTCACAGACAGAGAAAATGTGTTTGTTTTACTTTATTAGATTTCTTATAATATGTTCATACAAAAACAAATGTGCGTATACACACTCCGTCAATACTGCCAACTGCAATTTATTAAGGTTTATAAATTTATTCCACTAGGTCACTTTATTGTTAAGCAGACATTGAATGCAGAATCAATGCTAAAGACGGGGAGGCTAAATTTCAAAGTAAACAATCTCATCTTTCTGTTAATAGGTTTATAAGAGACATTTTTGAGGAAATCATAATTAATCACAGACCTCGAACCTGGACTGTATTTCTCTTAATGCAGTTGCATTTTTCTCATATGAAAATAAGGGAGAGGAAGTGTCTGGGCATAAGCAGGAGCTTGCACCGCTGCTCCGCTCCTCCCTGAGAGCTGCGAAGCCCCTCAGTCAGTCACCGTAATCCAGAGCTGAAACGCGGGGGACGCGTTTTGGGGATATATCTCGTTGCTTTGTGATGAACTCGGAGGCCCTGGGAGAATCTCTTGGTGTTGACAGCCCCTGACAGTAAATGTCACATGAATTCGGAGGGAGCTCAGAGCCTTCTGGTGACTGCTATGAGAAGAGACATCATGACAGAAAGCCTGATTGATGAGCAATGCCACGAGTAGAGGGAGCGCTGTGTGGTGATTGCCTATAATTGAATGGTCCTGTGGAAGTTATTTCTGGGTTCCCTTTGAACGGTGACATGCACTCCAGAAGTGTTTTCACATGGGAGACCTACAGATTTTAACCCTTGTACTCAGCAATTCCCTGTTAACGCTGCATTAACAGACTTTAAAACTTAATGGGCTGTTTTCACTTCAGGTCCAACGCGGAGCCATATCATAATAATTAAACAAGCGTCGACAACCAGCGATGGTCAGCCATGCAATTACCTTTAGAAATGTTTCATTGTCAGCTTTCGCCTCCTCCTCTCAGCGCTCTCTCCTCGTGGCTCAGCTCTGTGATCTGACAGCACGGAGACGTTGATTATCAAGGTTCTCCCTGATTCTGATGATGTGCTCCTGTGACACAGACTTGTCGCAGCCGTGTTAAGCACAGCAGTGATGCTTGTGGCATTAAATGGGAATGTGAGACGTTGTAGCCCCCTCACCCAGCAAAGCATCTGCTCTCGCTGACCAATTAAATTGGCTTCTCTCTCATTAAAACCCTTGTGCAGACTCTGGTATGTCACAGATCTTTAAAATCTCCATTACGATTTCCACTTTCTTCTGGGTATTTTTAGCTTATACTTGAAGAAATGATTATTGTCTCTTGCACTTAAACATATCAATTTTGGCTCCACAGACATCTCCTCTGGGCCATATTGAAAGACCTGAGCTGACTTGAACTGCTGAATCCGTAGGGAGGATTTCAACACAGCTCTAAGTGCTGGGACATTGGAGCCGTGCAAGAAGGAAGAGGGAGAGAAATTCAAGCCCTCCCCCCCCCTTCCCTTTGGTAAGCCAGGAGCACATCCCTTACAGATTTACTTGGTTGTGCCAATTTAATGTGATTTCTTCTGAGGGCCAGGAACCACTCAAGGAAGGCTGACAGGTTTTATCAACAGAATGGAAACTGAAGTGATAAGGTGAGAGTTATTGACCTGATAACTAACAAACAGAAAACTTCAGTGTCCCTCAAGCTAAATATTGCACTCAGCAGGTAACTAAAAGATGGCAACAGCTGTGGTCTTGTCACTGAGCGAGAGTATGTTTTCGTGTAGAGGAGCAGGAGGTGAACTGTGAAAACAAACACATTCAGTTTGCTACAGACTATTTCCCTCTATTACTTTTAATGAGAGCTAAACTCCAAAATGCACATTGGGACAATAATATTTGAGATAGTAGGAACTCTTTGTACAGCTCCTAAATTCTAGGCACCAGGTTGCAATTAAAATGATTGCTTTCGTATTATTAATAGCTCACCAGTAGTTTAAGGCTGTTAGCAGGTAGGAGACCAATTGGTACTATTCACTGCACAACTGACTGAAAAGCAGCGCTGTCCTTGAAGGAGCTAAGCTAACAACCTGAACCCACAATGCTCAAACGAGTTTGAAAAATGAGAGAAGTGTAAAAAGGTGAAAGGAGCCGTGTTAAAATGCATCGCTGTGGAGGCAACCTGGCTGAGTTGCCAGAGTCAGTTAAATGTTAGTAAATGCTGCCTAAGTATTCTGTGGTGGTTTTTTGTTGTTGGGTGCTTTTTTTAAAAAAAAAAATATCTAAAATTGTAATGTGGGGAGGGCAGATGGGAAAGGAAGCGGAGGCCTCTAATGAGTGATGACTTAAAAGTAACGGGCACAAAAAGTACTGCAAGTACAGCAGTCTTTTGTTCCTCCTTTTCTCCCCATATGGTTTTTCCTGAAATCACGCTGGGATTGTCTAAAATCTGTTCCTGAAGCCTGGCTGTCGCAATTCTCACGCATGCCTTGAAATTCTCGTGTGACAGAATATGAAGGCTTCAGTGGCTGAACAAAAAGGCAGGTGACAGAGTTCTTGTACGATGTCCATTTCCCCGTTCAGGCACCTGGACTGCTCACTACAATTGGAAAAGACAAGTGGCTAGTCATTGCTTTTTGTTCAGCCTCTGCATGCTAACTTTGTTTTTCACATGGAAGCAGTTTTGTACTTCTTATCATGTTTGTCATTCTGCCGTGTATCTTTTCTTTATCCGTTACAGGCTTCTTTTTTCTTTTTTTTTTTTTTTTTTTTTTGAGGTGAGGGTACCAGAACTGCACTTGATAATCAAGAGGCAGATGCACCAGGAATTCGTACAGTGACATAGTCATACTTTCCTTTCAAAAGAAGTCTGAACTTCTGAGTTTTTTGACTGCTATTGAGCAGTGAGGTGATGTATTCATAGAACTAGCTATTATAACTTCAAGATGCGTTTCCTAAATTGTGCAAAGTGGTTCACAACTCCATACTCTATGTGGAAAGTTAGTGTTGCTTTTCTCGGATAGCCAGATTGTAGTTGTCAGCACTGAAATTTATCTTCCATTTTATTGTGAGGCTGCTTAGTGTCATGATGTCTTTAAAGTTTTTTTTTTTTTTTTGTTAGTAATTATTATCCTAACGAATTCCATTTTTACCAGAAATCTTCGTTTCACCACTCCACTGTCTTTCCAGATCATTTCTGAATAAACTATAGCCTTAATGCATATCCCTGTGAGACTCCACTGATGGTCTTCTTCCACTGAGAAAACTCATCCTTTAGTCTAATCTTTGATTCTTATATCTAATGAGTTATTTATCTCTGTGAGGTCCTTCCTTGCCTGTAGTCCACAGCTGTTTAGTTTATTTAAGAGCCTTTGATGAGAGATCACCTTAAATGTCTGAAGTTTATGGAAGCTTGGGGTGAGTTGGAAATACAGGGAAAATTTCTTAGCTTGATCTCTGTTATTCGTCTGTTTTTTGATGCCTTCAAAGAATTCCAGCAGATGTAGGAGGCTCAGATTCCTTTTTGCAAAAGCCATGTTTACTTAATGTGTTAAATTTATTCATGTATACGCTAATTCTGTTCTTTACTAGAGCTCCCACCAATATGACCAGTATGGACATTAGACTTAGTGTTCTGTGGTTTCTTGAATCGCCGATGGATTTATTTTTAAAAACTCATTTCTTACTAGTTACCTTCCAGTCCTTTGATAATCGCAGCAATTTTCACGGAAAGGTTACATACTATAGGTATTAGCTCAGATGATTCATATTTAACATTCTGTAAAAATCTTATATGAATATCATCTGCTTCCAGTGATACGCTGTTATTTGTGTTGTCTGGTTTGTGGGCTACCCTTAACAATGTTTTTAAAATCAAGACAAGCCTTCTATGAATTTCGTATGAACAAGATGCAGGTCTCTGAGTTTCTCAGGATTCTCCAGGTGAATAGAGATTTAAAAAAAAAAAAGGTTTTGGATTTTTTGTTATGACATTATCTTTCCTAAGTGCTTCCTTCATATCTATATAGCCCACTGGCTCTTGTAAGCGTCTTGCTCTTGATGTTTTCAAGGAGGATTTATTACAATTTTTTTATTTCTTCAGCAAACTGTTTCTAAACTCTTTTTTTCAGTCTGTGTTATTGTGCTTTTACCTTTAGTCTGCCAGAATTTATGTTCTTTTTAGTTTTCCTTTTTCAGACACAACTTCAGCTTTTTGCAGGGTACCTTTTAACTTCCAACAGCCTCCCTGATCCTGCTGTTTTATGATGCTAGCTTTTTGTTTTTCCTCTCAAGTCTTTTTTGACAGGCTATATGCATTTGCTTTGAGCCTCCAATATAGAATCCTAAAATAGTCTACCTGCCATCTGAAAACATTTTACCTTTCTGGCTGCCACCCTGAGCATTTTTTTATTATTATTTTTAGTTTTTACTAATTTCCTCATTTTTTTTTGAATTCCCCTTCTCTGCAATCAACCACAACCTCTGCATTTGCCAACATTTATTTATTTATTTTTTCTCCAGAGTATGCAGTCAAGAAAGAGATGAAAAGGATTAAGTGCCTTGGCCTAGCCCGGTGTCTGGGAAGGATGGAAAGATCAGCCACTCCGATTTCACCATTAACTGTGAAGAGGTGAAGAAGTGGCTTGCTGGGGTTGGAAGCTGCAAGAATTCATAGAATCATAGAATGAATCGTAGAATGGCTTGGGTTGGAAGGGACCTTAAAGATCATCTAACTGCAACCCCCCTGCCATGGGCAGGGATGCCAACCATTATATCAGGTTGGCCAAGGCCCCATCCAGCCTGGCCTTGAGCACCTCCAGGGATGGGGCATCCACAGCTTCTCTTGGCAACCTATGCTAGTGCCTCACCACCCTCTGAGTGAAGAATTTCCTCCTAACATCTAGTCTAAATCTCCCCTCTTTTAGTTTAAGACCGTTCCGCCTTGTCCTATCATTATCTACCCGAGTTAAAGAGTCCTTCTCCATCTTTTTATAAGACCCTTTTGAGTATGGAAAGGCTGCAAGGAGGTCACCCTGGAGCCTTCTCCAGGCTGAACATCCTCAGCCTTTCTTCCTAGGAGAGGTGCTCCAGCCTCTGATCAGCTTTGTAGCCCTCCTCTGGGCTCACTCAAACAGGTCCACATCTTTCTTGTGCTCCTGCTCTGGAACATCAGCTTCCTTCTCCCACCTACAACAATTAAAAATCCAGGGAACTGGATAAAAGGCCATCTGGGCTGATTTGTTACCACATCACTGAAGTAACACACTAACTAGCTGGAGCGTTCTGGAGTGGAGGCTGTTTCCACTATGCTGGTGAGAACCAGAGTGAGGTAGCAGAGAGTGACGCAGACAATGTCCAATTCTCCCATGAACTGACATAGGTGTGCCAGGAAGTCTGGAAGGACAGTGTGTGAACACAAGTAGTTTTTCACTGGGATAATGTCAGAGAAGCAAGGGCTTGGATTACGTCATGACTTTGGTTTGCAGATAACAAAATCCTGGATAAGGCCTGACAGCGAAAGGAGGAAGACTGCAGGTGGCAGAGGCTGGTTTGCTAGCTGATTCTTTTTGGGTCTCTCCAATTGCACCTCGCAGTGAGCAGTTAGCTGCTTACTAACAGCTCCGAAGCTGCTCTGGAACTGGCGGGGGACAAGCAGTCTCTGCCAAGCAGGTGCCGCACTTCAGCATGTGACTAAAGCTTGCTTACCAGTGAAAAGCATTTGCTTGGAGGTTGAAAGGCACCACCACTCAGCTGCTGCGAAATACATTTAAAGCCAGGGTGAACCAAACAACACCAGTTACAGTGCCACTGCTGACTAGCATTGACTGCTTAGCAACAGGGAGAGTGATATGGATACAGATGAATTGACTGTTTTCTGAGCAAGCTGGGTAGGAGCAGAAGTAATTAGCTGCTAGCTGATGAAAAGGCATGCTTAATTATTAGTATAATTATAGATATAATAGACCAGGAATTATTCAGTAAAAGCAGGAAAACCAATACATTACAAAGAAGGTAATCAGAATGGAAGAGAAAATGACAGCAGTGTGAATTCTTGAGAAGATGTAAAAAATTAAGATGATAAACCTGGAATCTTTTGAATTTCCACCCTCTGATATATCAACTCAGTTCTACAATGGTGTAAGGATATACAGAGCTGGCAAGGCGTGTGGCTTGCATCATATCTGTCTTTATGTACTGTTGTTTTAACTGATTGTATGCCACTGAAGTTGAGCTATATTTTCATAAATTTCAGAACCTGCACAATTTTGTGAGGGTCTTTGTTCTCCTGCCAGCAATATTATAGCACAGCCATTTAATTTGGTCAGTCCTGTGGGATGCTGAGCTATAGCTGGTTCTGATCAATATTGGTAATTGATTATAATTCTGATAAGGCAGCAATGCTTTCCCTTGGCATCTGAAGTAAGTAATTGCTCCTAAGAAGCAGTCATGTCAGTCAGCTGCCCTGCCTGTTTTCTGTGCAGTGGCAGAGACATTACTAATACATTCTTGAAATAGGATGTGTAATCACTGAAATGGATAATCTGGATAAAATTTCAAATACATATCTTCTGCTGTCAGAATGTAGATGTTGCTGGTTCTGTTCTTGTACTGGGGAGCAGGCCAGATACTCATGGCAGCAGCCGTGGTCTGGTGTCTTCTATAAGAATCTGGAACTGAGAGGCATGAGATTATGACAATGTTAGAAAAAAATTGCATATGCTATAGATGACGGTGGAGTGGGAAACTGTCAGCAGCTGCTCTAATCTGGACTCTTGGAGACTGAAAGTAGTGGTGCCAAATGCTTATAAACCCTTTTACCCACTGCACTGGTTAGAAAGGAAAATTAAGATACAAAGATTTTATTGAACTACTATTTGAGGACTAATTATTAAAATGGCTTTTGATTAATGAGTTGCAAGTCCAGCTGGTTTGACAAATAGCATTTTGATAAGGAATTTGTAAGACGGATAGTCTTAAGATGGTAAGTTGAAGGTATAACGCCGTAACCTTAATGATGATGTTAATGCAGAAATGATGTAAATGTGCATGAGCAATTACTGTATCACTAGGGTACATCAGGACAAATTGAGTACAGACAAACTCTAATCAGCATCAGCTGAGTGCAGAATCATTGAAGAATGAAGCTGGAAGACATCTCAGCAGATCACTTAGTCTGTCTCCTTCCACATCAGAATCAGATCTGCTTACAACATTCTCGGCATATGAAGAACAGTTGTTTATCTTCCATTTTGTGGCAGACTTTGTCTGCTACAGGACTGTTACTGCATCTATCCTGACTCTGTCCTGACTTAATCAGGACTGTTATTGCCTCTCTCCTCAGTCTTCTCTCTTCTGAGCACCTCCTGTTCTCGGTCTTTTGATTCAGGTCATGTTTTCCAGACCTCTAACCTTTGTTGTTATTCTTGCTGCTTGGCCTGTCAACCTTTTTTGAGGAGCAGTACCCAAGACTGGACATGCCTCTGCACTGAGGCGTTACTAATATTGAGCACAGGAAAAGAACCTGCAAGATGTCTTGCAGGTAATTCTTCTGTTAATATATCTGTGCAGTGTTTTCTCTTTGCTCAAGAGAATGACCCCTGTTCAGCTTGTGATCTATCAGAACCTTCAGGGTTTTTTTTTTGTTTTTTTTTTTCAGACTGCTTTCTGCCCATCTGATGTCTGTCTTGTATTTGTGCACTGTACTCCTGCCTAAGTTAAAATGCTACGCTTATTACAATTGAGACGACTCCTATTTTTATAGACAACTTGTCCAAGTTGTCAAAAGTTTTTAATACTTCTGTCCCCCATGTGTTTGTAGCCAGTCTTCACAGATTTAATCTTGGCAGATTTAATAAACACACAGTCCATTTCCTCATCCAGGCTATCAATAAAATATTGAATGGAACTGATGAACAGCTGAGTAGCCATTCAATTCGTTCTTTAAATTTCACAGTGAACCATTGGAAGCTGCTCTGAGTGTGGATTCCAACCAGATTTGTCCTCAACCTGGGCATTCTTGTACTCGCATTTCATGTTGGATGAAGTTAGAAGCCTCAGTAGCATTGAGGTATGTGGTATCTGCTGCTTCTTCCCTGTCTGCAAGATCTTACCCTTCAGAGAGGGAAATTAGACAGAATCTGCTTGATTTCTTCACAAGGAGCTCATGTCGACAAGTACTCATCTCCTTCTTAGTTTCCATGTGCTTAGAAATCATTCAGATTGTTCTTGTGTTTTTCTTTTCCTAGAAATTAAATCTCATGGTATCTTAGTTACTCTGTTTGACTTGCAGAATATAACTGCTAGTGGTTCAAGCTGCTTGAAATGTAAGAATTTTGAGGACAGTTGTGACGGCAATTATACAGACTTCTCACCACTAGAAACCCTGTGCTAAATATGAAATTCCTGTGCTAAAGCACAGAGACACAAAAGGTTCTTGAGAGAATGGTGAAAGGAGTGTTTTAATAACAAAAAAATAATAATTTGGAGAAATTATGGTGCAAATTCAGTTTAACTTGAAAAAGAAATTTCAGGTTAGCTTGAGAGTATTCTGAACAGTTTGAAATACAAGTCTGAACAGTCTTGTAGAAATAAGATCAGGGTCATGCAAAAGAAGTTGGGAAACCTTAAATTTAGGCTCTGCTAAATTCTTTGCGTATATCAGATTGGTAGTGAACATCTAAGAAAATAGGAATAGAGATTAGACTAAATTTCATAACCTTTTAACCCAGAAAGCCTGGATCTCTTCAGTAAAGTGTTTTCTGAACTCTAATATATGCTCAGTGTTGACACGGGCTTATTCACAGAAGAGGATGACCTTTGCACAGCTCAATGATAAGAGCATGTGTGATGAGTTTTAGTATCTTCTGTTCAATGCACCTACCTGACTGTAGGTTTGATCTGACCAAAACAAGGTATTAGACTTTGTCCCAAAGCACTGCTGCTGGAGTGTTTGATACTGTGCACACAGGAAGTGTATACACATTTACATGAACGCTCCAGTATATCAGTCAAACAAGAAATGTGCATTGCATTGGTATGAACCCTTTGCTGGATTTCAGAAACTTATGTTGCCTTGCATTTAGTATTCTAAGGTCAAAAAACATACCCCAGCAAACTCGTAATTGTTCATTAACAAGTGTTATACCATGGTTGTGCCTTGAAATGTTTGGACTATGTAACTGCTGGCAGAGGAGGGAAATCTGAAGTGTCATTCGAGTCCCAGAATATAGGCAGATGCATTCCATTTCGGGGACAGGAATTTTGAAGTGTGTGGGGGACCTGCTCTATCCTCTTTTGTCCCTTTTTTCACCATCTTTAGCAGTATAGATTCCCATCTAGTTCCCATTTTTTTTTAAGCTTGAGAAGCTGCAGAAGTACTTTAGAAATCACTGGCGTGTGAAAATTGTTCTTGCGTTCTGGCATCCTTTGGTTTTGTGTGTGCCCTCCACAGGCAGGTACTCAGTGTGAGGCTGGAAATGTTCTTGGTGATGAAGCCGAGACACACGGGAATTTACTGAGGGCAGGGGTGAAAAGTGAATCAGTATGGATTTTGTAACAGAGAGGTGAGTCATTTTTTTAATAGTGAGGACTTCTGCATATTACCTCTAGGTGAGTTCTATTACAAGGCAGCTGTTAACATATTGCTGTGAATTGGCTTGGAAAAAAATTAAAATTGCAAAAGTACACAAATTTTAAATAGACAGAAATAATCATGACAATAAAAATGGTTGAAAGAACAGAGCTACAGCAACAAGGTATCATTTCTTAAATAAATGGGTAGCTAGGAAAGGGTGTAGGGAGACATGCTGCTTGGAGATCACAGAGGCACCTAGGCTTGACAGTTTCTATGACTGCATGAAACTGAGAAACACAGCCAAACCCCCGCTCTCTCCTAGCGTATTATACTGCACAGCAATCAGGTTTAGTAACACATTGCTGAGAGAGACTCCCACTATTTAGTATTCATTATAGATGGCATTTTTCAGATTGCAGCGCAGCAGTGTAAACAAGTGGTGCTGGAGGAAGAGTGGAGAACAGCATTTCTCCAAGTTCTGATTTATTTATTGTTGCTATTCACTGAGCTACACAAACTTGTGGCACCACCAGTTTTGGGAAAGGAAAGTAACTCTCACACCACCAGCATTTTCCAACACTCTTGCAGGAGACCAACACTGCAGGAGGCAAAACACAGTTCCTGCAGGTGGACATGCATGTGGCTTCCTTGTGAGGCTGAAACATCTGGTACATCTCTGTGAGTTGTCGTGGAGCTGCAGGCCTGCCTGGCTGCTGCCAGCTGCCTGATCTGTATTCCCATTTACACCATGCTTTGTACCCCTTGTCTGCATGAGGAAGGAGCCTGTTCCTACAGACGAGGTGCTGCTGTGCTGGACACCCACAGCTGCGAGCAGAAAGCTGCCTGGACAGGCTGGTATCCTGTGGGTGACAATTATCCTCAGGGTACAGAGTCTGACCAGCTGCTGATGTGTCCAACTCTGGGACAACGCCAGCTGATGCTGTAGCACCCAAAGAGCTATTCCCCATGTGCTTGCCCTGCTTTGCAGACAGAGGTGCACGGCCACTCCGCATCCCATGAAGGTTTGCCCACTCCTAGCTGTGTTTTGTTTGTTCGTTTGTTTGTTTTGTTTGTTTATTTGTTTTCTGACACCAATTATTTCCAGGTTAGCTGGACACCAGCCACCCAGAAAGCAACACAGCTTTGCTATCATCCCTAAATCATTAATTCCTGTAGACCACAAGGGTGCAGTGCCGTGGCAGTCCTCTCTATCCTTCCCTCTCCAGCTGGAGGTGTTGTGTTTCCTCCAAAGCGTCTCTGCTTTTGAAACACCTTGGTGGATGGATACCTCTCTTTTTTTTTTTTTTTTTTGAGCATTAATGACAGATTGTCTTAAGGAGGGGGGGTATTTGATTATCCCCACAACTACTTCACAGTAATACTTAACTTAAAACTGGGATCTACTCAAAAGTGTGTGAGCTTCCTAAAAGGAAATTAAAAGCAGCTGTTATAAGCATGCGGAAGATGAGAAACTAGATGAAAATATCCTATTTGAAGCTCAGAGCAATATATCACTAAGTGGAATAATTCTGTGAGGGACCAAAAAGGCAATATTCGAACAGTCAAGTAGAAGAGAGTATTCAAAATCCAGGAGTTCTGAGCAAATAAAGAAACTATTAAAAACAAAACAGAACAAAAAATACCAACACACACACAAAACACCAGAAGCCACCAACACAAAACATAAACTGTCAAGCTAAATCTGAAGGGCAGTCAAGGGAAAACTTTAAAGAAAAAATCAGTAAAGGAATAATAAAAACTGCTAGTAAAAATATTTTCAAAATTACCGGAATCAGGTACTTTTCCTGAGGTTTGTGATTTACTGTAAGAGAGGAAAAGTACTGAAAAGCAAACCTTTGTTGGTGCTCACAGTGGTTGAGGTAGGTTACTCTCCTGTGAGAGCCAAACTTATGGGGACAAGTGTAAGGAACTGTCTCAAATTAAATGCATTTTAGGACTAATTGATAAGATGAAGAGTCAGAAAGTGCCAAGACCATATGGTATTCACTCAAGAGCTCTGAAGGAAAACAAATATGCAATTATGGAGCTACTATAGTTTGTAACCTGTCACTTAAATCAGTCTCCCTGCAAGAAGGATGGAAGATGGTAAATGTGACAACAGTCTCTGAGAAGGTCCCCAGGAGTGAAGTGGAGAACTGCAGACCGTCACATTGGAGTCTCTACTGAGCAAGTGAGTGAAAATTATAAGAATAAAATGCACAAATGGATAAAAACTGATTTATTAGGGAAGGCTTTTTTAGTGAGAAACCACAATTTACAAATCCATTGTGAAATCTGTCATAAGGCTACTAAAGATGCAGGTAGAATGATGTAGTTACACCAACATGAGAAATGCTCTGGTGGATCAGACTAGGGGTCCATTTGCCTGGACTGTCCACCTCTCATACCTATGGCCACAATTGTATAAGCCTTACTCATATCCCCCTCATTGTCTTCTCTCCAAACTGAGAAGCCCTTTTAGTGTCTCTTCTAAAGTAAGAACTAGGAATCAATTTAATCTGGCTTATGTTTCTTCACAAAACTTGTAATTAAGCTGTAAAATCCTTTGCAGTGGGTTATTATGGATGCTCAACGTTTACTTGTGCTCTGGGGGTAGCAGGAAAAGTTAATGGAGAGAAATTAAGTTAAAGCATAACCTGTTAAATAGTAAAACCAAAGACAGCAGCTCAAAAAATCCAAAGGCACGTTGAGAAACGGAATAATGTTCCAAGAAAGCATCACTGTATTCTCGGTGTGTTCTTAAACTCATTCTCCAGGCATTTGTATTGAAAGCCAGGCACTGTAGTAGGGGAACCTTCAGTCTGACCCAGGGCAGGCTTTCTTGTGCTTTGTTATGTTCTGTCAAAAGAAAATGAAACGTAGCTGTGCATGTAAACACTTCTGATGGTAATGGTGAACACTGAACTCATCTCCCCACTATACAAGCAAGCGATGAATTTTTATTTGAATGCTAATGAAGATCTCACCAAGATGCTGCTAGGTCTCATCTAGCAATATAAAGAGAAAAGCTACATGGTGGAAATGAGCAAAGGACATTTATAAAAGGATGAAAATTTATTGTGAATATTGATGTTGTTAGCCACTCACAGGTCAAAAATATAACTAAATCTACTGATGTAATTTGAAGTAGGTAACTAAGTATTAAGAAGAACATTTTCTTACAATTAATCCATCTGTTATGCTCTAAAGGGAAAAGCTGTTATTTCTTACATCCCCTTAACTCCAAACAATCCAGGCTTTATAGTCGAAAACTAGATCTTCCTACAGTGATCTAATATATCCTAGATCTCTTTTAGTTTTTGGATCAGAGCTGAGGCAAGCTTCTTTTACAAATTTGTGCTGCAGTCTACTAAAAGAGCTGTTCCCTGCCAGGAGAATATTACATACAGTTCTGAGAAAAATGAACAGAGTCAGCTTGTTTGAGAGCTAACTGATGCTTACTCACAACACTGATAAGCCTGACATTTACTGAGAAGTGCCACAATTCTCAGTCCAATGAAAAATCCCAAGAGGATGGTTGGTGTTTTTTTTTTCGTTGTTGTTTGTTTGTGTTTTTTTTTTTTTTTTCAGTGATGCTTCACATTCAATTGACTCAGGATAAGCTGGAGTTTTCTGAAATATTTTAGTAAAAAAAAAAAAAAATGGAGCCCAACTCCTCCGCTTGAATTACACACAGATGTACTAGTCTTCCTTGGCACATTTGTTAATGGTTGTGGTATGTTTAATGATGCTCTACAAGTCGTCTGTGCCTTATGTGTCATATTTCATTCCTGTAGTGTATTAAAAGCACTTACATGAGAGTTCTTGGTGACTTGATTACAATTACAAAAATTATACTCGGAATGGTGTCACTGAGCACCTTTACATAAAAGCTAAAACTTGTAGTGAGATACCTGTTTGTGATCGTAGGCAGTGTTCTGGCTCTTATTCTAGTCTCTGCATCTTGGTCTGTGATTTGGCTTTATGTAGCATCCATAATATATGGCCATATAGGATTCTTCTGGAATAAGCCCTGCGTGAGGAAGACTGTCAAAAGGCTTTCAAATGTTCAAGTAGATTATGTTAAGCATTTCCCTTTTGATCATTATTATATAGATATTTTCAAATAATTCTAAAATTTTAGTGATGCAAAACTTTCATTACAGACACTGTGATAATTGGCTCCTGCAATATCATGTTCCTTATCTAGGAATTCCATTATTCTGTTTTTAATTATCATTTTGACCAACTTTCAATGTGCAGAGCTGTTTCTCTGGCTCATTTTATATCCTTTTAAAATAGGCAAGTAACCCAAATAGTGGCTGAGAATTTTCTGACAAAATTAATTTTCAGGAAAAAATATTCTTATTTATCAAAACCTGAGCTTTTCGTAGGAACATATGTTCCAAATGTCAAAAGTTTCAAAATCCATCACTTCAGGGGCTAGTTGGTTCCCAAATTTAATCATCAATGCTGTTAAAAAAATATAAGAAATAAAAAAAAAATTGCGTGTTTCATTTCTGGTTTGAATCACTTTCATTTTTCAGCCCTTAGTCTTTCTTCTGTCTCTGCTAGATTAAAAAGTGTTGGTTGATATTTTCCCCTTGTGAAGGTATTTATTGAATCACCCCACAATTGAGCTGTTTAAGTTTCTCAGTTACACGTTCTTCTCTTCTCATATGCTTCTTATGGCTCTTTTCTGCCCCCAATCTAATCTTTCAACAGCTTTAAATGTGAACATCAGAATTAGATATAATAATGGTTTCAGTGGTGCTGTACCCGGAGGTTGAGCTGATTCCTTGCTTCTAATCACTTTTCCCGTTCTATCACGCTTTTACCTTGAGCATTTGTGGTGAGTTCCTTGTCCACTAAGACCACCTAAGTCATAACCATTGTACTCAAGGCACAATTTTCTGTTCTGTTAGAGCAGCCCATATCCTCTGTTGGTCCACCAACTGACTGCCTCTTCGTGAAAATACTCCTTTTGTATCTTACATAATATTTAAGCAGAGAGCAGCCTCTCTTCTTGAATGTTCTGGATCTAGTAGTTCTGAAAAGCAGTCATGCTGTGTTTCTGTAAATTTGTTCTCAAACCTTTTATTCCTATGTAACATCATAGTGATTTATTTATGAATAATAGAGGTCCTCGTGTTTAGTATTTCACCTCTCAGCATTAAGCATTTAGTCTTCTTTCTCTGGTGACTGATGAGATAACTCTGCATATATTTACATTCCTACAGCTCAGTCGGTACAGCCAGTTTCAGTCTACAGCCTTTTCCATTACAAATTTTAGTTTTGTTAGATTTCTTACAACACTTTTTATAAAATATAAAATAAATTATTTCACTTTTATGACTTATACTTCTTTTGCATAGCTTATGGCCATGCACTACGGTATAACATCAGTTTTATCATTATATTTTACAGTGTTCTGCTATGTCAAGATCTGATTTTATTACCTGTGTTAACCTAGCTTTTTATTATTAGTAGTGGTATTAGTATTGATTTATATACACACATTTATAATTCTTAATTAGGGGGGCACCTTTGTTTAACCTCTTAGTCTGATGTCATCCTGATATAATACCATCCCACTTATGAACTGTTCTGTGCTAAGCTTTTGCTCTGAAGTAGCTGGATACACAAAGTATTTTTGTTTTACCAACCCTTAGCAATCTGTTTGCCTTAGCTCATGACAGATTTCCCCCAGCTCCCACTTAATTAAACACATCATATATATTTTGCTTGTGGAAAGTCTGATTTCGCTTTTGACTTTTGATGGAGACCCTCACCTCCGGATAGTGTTGTCTTCTCCTCTGCCTAATTGGAGTTGTATGTATAACTGGAAGGATTTCAGAGAAACTGTCAACAGTACCCTAGGGCTAAATCTTCTAGCCAGCAGACTGACTTTGCCTTCCAGGATCCTTAGCTTGCATTTCCCTTTAAAATTTGTGACATGTAGTAGGACCTCATGCTCCTCCCCAGCACTTTCTAGCATCCACATAGGTGTCTCATAAAAGACCCCTTCATGTTCTGCCTACAAGTCAGCAAATCTCTGTCATCGCATCCATGGCTGCTGTTGCTCCTGGTATTTAAATTTGTATCAGTGCAGTAGACAAAAAGTTCTCAACTAAAAATGCATTTTGAGATACAGCCTTCAATACCGTTGTCAGCTTGCTTTTCCTCAGCTGGAAGGCAGCTTCCTGCTAGGCTGCGCTGTGCTAAATGTGCATTGTGAGAGGAGCCTGAGCCTCCTTGAAGGGGAGATAAGAGCAACTAATCTGAGCTTGGCCTACTCCCTGATGTCCTTTTAGACTGTGTTTGTGTATTATATTTGTTCTCTCTTTGCTCCTTCAGATCAGAAGCTCTGGCCTCAAACCACTCTGGGTATGTGATGCAATAGCTAGGTGTGCAAGGAAGACAGTAGCTGAAGCAATTGCTGAAGCATTAGTGACTGTCCTGGAAGTTCTCGGAAGTGCAGGTAAGATCACTGAGCACTATACAAGGACAAACAGTTTACATTTTTGAGAAAGAGAAACCAGAAACCAGGGAATTAGAGACCACTCTTCCCAGAAATGAGTCTGAAAAAAATATTACACGATCAATTTAAAGCAAATAGAAGATAAAAAGAAAAAAAAAAAAAAGATAGATTTACCAAGAATAAATCATGCGATCTCACTGTAATTTCCTTCTTCGAGAAAATAATGTCTAGTAGATGAAGAGGAGGCAGCAGATGGGACATATTTTGCTTTAGGAAAGCTTTTGAAACTGTTCCACATGATTCCCTCGGAAGCAGACTAAAGAAATATGGTCTGTAACAGTGTGCCCAGTATTTCTGGCTGGGTGAGACACTTACCTTCTTTCTGTATAAGGGAGAGACCATATGTTGCAGCCCTTCCTCTAACACATAAGTGTATTGTGAAAGCATAGAAAAGCCAGTGCTTCCTGGGGCAATGAGATTTATTGCGTATGTGCAGACAGATCCACATACTGCCGTGATCAGAGGCCCTAAGTGGGCTACCAGCAAAGATGGCCTGCGGCGTATTCAGAATAGTCCGCCCAGTGGGCAGCCCTCCTCCCTGTAGACTCTAGTCCAGATCCACAAAAGAGTGAGGGCATCCATGGCCAAGTTAATTGTCTTGGCAGGGAGGATGCTGTTCATAGCTTGAGGTTCATCATTTAGAAGGTATGTGGTACTACTGTCGTGTGGGTGGCAATGGTGCACTGTCGGACTGAGAAGTGGTTTTGACTGAAGTCCTGCTGAGGTATGTCCTGGGTCTTAATCTATTCAGTGTTTTAATTAATGGCTTATATAATTTAACAAAAAACTCACTCATAGAATTTGCAGATAAAAAAAGATGCACTCTGAAGGTCAGGGTTAAACTTCTAATGATCTTGAGAAACTGGAGGACATGATCCACAGATAAACTATGAAATAAAGAGACAAGTGCTATGTGCCACATTGATGAAGGAGCAATAAATACCAAAATACAAAAAGGGGATAATGGACTGAGGCTGAAGCATGCCATGGCAAGATATGGGAATTAGAGAAAATCAAAAATAAAACATGAATGATTGATCACACAAGTCTTATGCTGGGAGGTATTAACACAATATATTATTAAAATCTAGGAGTAAGTCTCATTTTCTGCAGTGCTGTTGAGGCCTTTCCTGGACCTCTGTATCCACATTTAGTGCTGGAGAGAACCGGTGTTGTGAATCATATGGATACCAACGACAGAAGAATGAGTGGGAAAGAAATTCTGAAAGTGGAATCACGGTGTTATAAATTGTCCCAGTACCAGACAAGCAGATTCTCAGTTGTTGGTGAGGTAGTTTTTACAAGAGAGAGAGGCTATATAAATCAATGTGAAACTAGATTGTAAGGTTTCAGCATTCAAAAGCAATGAGGTATTTTTATAGTTGACAGTTGTGAAAACTCACTAAATAAGCAACAACACATGGTTCAAGATGGCAGCTCCTCTTCTAGAGAAATAAGCAAATTCTTGTAATTTAGAAAAAATGAAAGAACTAAAATCAATAACATTGAGGAAGGAAATAGCAAAGAACGGTCTCAGCAATTAAAGTCCAAGCTAAGCAGGCCCCATGAAGAATGGGCAACTAGATCAATAAAAAATATAGAAATATACCTATACAAATACTGTGAGTCCAAAGCCCTAAATGAGGTGAACTAGAATGTCTGATTTTAAGGGAGGTTATTGACATAATAAATGCCTCAGAAACTTGGCAGAAGGGTGAGAAGCTGTAATAGGGAACAAATGTAGAGGAAGGATGGAAAGGGGCACATTAGTGGTGAAGCAGTGGAGAGTATGAGGAATTGTCCCTAAATGAAGCTTCAGCAAGGGACATTTTGGAACAAATCAATAAAATGAACAGTAAGAAGGCACCGAGATAAGATGATACTCAGTCTAGAGTTCTGAAAGACCTCAAACACTAGATTGAGAGAAAGCTAAATGTAGCATGAAGAGTGCCATTTAAATTGACCACATTGCAAGAAGAATGGAAAGTGGCAAATGTGTCTTCAGCCTTGAGAAAAAGGACTCCAGGACTAATGTGGAAAACCATAGATCAGGAGATCTCACTTCCAAACTGAGTAAGTGGGTACAAACTACAATAATAAAGAATAGAATCAGTAGACAATTTCATAAATGTGATTTATTTGGAAAAAGTCATTACAGTTCTTGCAGAAGGAGACCATGTTTCATAAATCTATTTGAAATCTTTGAAGATGTCAACAAACTTGTAGGTAAGGCTGATCTAGTTGATGTAGTATGTAAGGACTTCCTAACAAATGTCAATAAGTCTTTCTGCAAAGACTCTTAAAGTAGTTCTGCTGAGATAATAAGGTGTTCTCTTGTAGGTAAATAAGACAGAGACAAAATGGGACAAAAAGTGGGAGAAAAGATTAATGTTCCCACTGGAAGGAGCACTGTGGTTTAGTCATGCAACTGTTAGAGTTAGGCCCTGTGCTTTTCAATATCCTTAAATGGTTTGGAAAGGAAGGTGAATATTGCTGTGACAAGGTTTGTGAATGATACAAAAAGAACTGAGATAGGCAAATCTAACCCTGAGAAGAGAGGCAGGTGGTTCTTGTGGTAGTGAGTGACTGTGTCAGAAATGGCATGCGAATGTCAATGTTAATAAATGCAAAGTAGTTTGTCTGGGCATATACATGTTCAATCATGTATTATTCAGTTAGGGATTGAACATTAAGTTATTATCACTCAGAAATGGAATTGCTGCAGGATAGCTCTATGAAAGCACTGATGCAATGACCAGCAGCAATCAAAAATTCAAACCGAATGACAAATTTTTAGAAAAGGAAAAAAGGAGAAGAAAAACATGATTATATGATTATGTCACTATATAAATGTTTGGCAAACCCACATATTGATTAATATGTGCAGTTCTGTTCATCCTGTCTCATAAAGGATAAAATAGAGCTAAAAATGATGGGTGGGAGTTATTTAGCTCAGAGATCTAGACACCTAAATTTAGGTTTCTATCTGTAGGTGTCAATCTATGAGGTAGATATCCAAACTCCACCACTAAATCAAAGTGTTTTAATCTGAATTCCACCCACAGATAGTATATGAGAAAGACAGAATGGTTTTCGTATCAGGACAAAGAAAATAGACATGGGACAGAGATCTTGAAATCTTCTACCTAGGTAGGAAACAATGAAGAGGAGATAGCTATTATTTTTCAGAATAGGAGAAGTAAAGGATATCCTATGAAATTATTAGGCATCAGGTCTAAACCAGAAAGTCATACCTTCTCATATAACATATTATTAAATTGTAGAACTTATTGCCAGAGGCTGTTGTGTAGGTCAAAAGTATAAATGAATTAAAAATTTCTGGAAGGCTGATGGGAAGCCGGTGTCCTGCCAAACAGAATTACGAAGGCTCATTCAACTGTCAGAAGCAATAGAAGCCCTGACCTTCCTGTTCCAGGTAGAGGTACATGGGAAGGTCTCTGATGCAGCTAGGTAGGACAATAAAGGCAGTTGCTAGGTCAGAACAGAGACCAGGAGTGAGAAACTAGTCCACACCACGCCAACATCTCCTCTTGTGGTCACTGGGACACCATGAAGGGGCATTCACAACTGGGATCTCAGGAGTGGAAAGTGTGGTGTACCCAGCCTAGGCTTTGGGGGGAGGAGGGAGAAAGGAAGGTACTGCTTGAAATCCTATGCAGAAATTTTAAAAAACAAGGTAGGCTAATGGTAGCCATAGAACTAGCCATTAGCATAGGTAATGTCCAGAACTTGGAAACAAGAAGCGGTGTTCATAGTTCATGGTCTTCAGCACCTCAGAGTTGACTGAATCAAGAAAATACTACAAGCTTACCAGCAGTACTGCACTTCCCAGGGCTTGCAGATGGTTATTGTCCTGCCTGGGGTTTGAAATTGAGGTACTAGAATTCAGGTACTGCATCTGGTTTTTACTGGAGCAATGCTCCTGTGGTTTTTGAAGACTTGAATTGCTAACAACCACATTCAGCTCAGCTTATCTTGCTCGGTCCAGACTCCCTGGGTTTCACAGTTGGCACTGAAATTGCAGATAGGATCCTGAATGCAATCAATAATGACCTGCACGTGGTCAGTTTGAATGGATTGTCTCAGAGGAGCAGCCAACAAGATACACAAAACTGTGGAGAGTAAGCCTGGAGAACATCCCCAGCTCTCTGATACGGGGAAGAAAAATCTAGGTTGTACTGAATTATGAACATGACTTCTACTGTAGATAAATTTAGTTTAGTATAAAGCTGTGTGTAGTGGTCCCAAACTTTCATCTTTCAATCCTGCTTTCATTTTCCTTATTGTTTGGATATATTTTCATCATTCATTCTGTGCTGTAGGAAGAAAAAAAATGTTTCTATTTTGAGTTACTCAGCTGGTTGTCCCCAGGACATTTCCACGTGGCCCTTAAATGAGTGGAGGTATTTTTCTGGTGTGCTTAGGCAGCCATGAATGTGGCTCCACAGACCTCAGAAGGACTTTCCAGACATACTCTGGAAAGCAGTATTGCTCATCTACAGAGTGCAAACTCGGAGAATGATGACTTAATTAGAGTGGTAGCACTACTTAAAAGCAAAATTTGAATCTAGCTGCAGCTGTCCTTAAAATACACTTCAGTATTACATATGAAGCCTCTAATATCAGAAGTGGAGACGATTAGATGGGGGTAAATATGATGGTGGCTTTTGTATCCTTTGGTGTAAAGCATACTGAGCTGCAGCATGGTGAAAAACAATTAGTACTTCGGAGGTCTTTTAAATACAGATAATTTGCTTAAAGTGAAACTTGCTGTAAGAACATGCAGGCTTTGGTAGGAGTTGCTGTTGCTGAGTCAAGATGTGGCATCCCGTCCCTGAACAACCCAAGGGCCTGAGCCTCATGTCCACGAGCCTGGTAGAACACTGCAGCCTCCCTCTCCGACATGAAATTCCTGCTTTATTACACACCTCAAAGACCGTGATTACAAGTGCGCTTCTGCCAGTGCCAGTATGTGACGTCAGGAGTTCCTTCCCCTTTCTGTCCCAATACTGATGTACTGTCACAACTGTGGGGCTGTCACAGGAGCTTCTTATGCTGGCACAGCCTCTGAAAGGAAAAGATTTGTAATTACATGCAAAAAAGAGTGCTCTGAGTAATCTGTGAGCTTTGGTATGCATATGTATATTGTTCGGTCTCTGGATAGGGATGATCTGCTTTACATGAGCGCTTGTCACCAGGGCAGGACTTGGAGCTTACTGCCTGATACTCTGTTTGAATGCTGTGACCGCAGGACTGTTCATAACATTTCTTGCCTTTTTTTTGACCTAGAAAATATTTACTGATTTTTTGCAAATCAGAACTGCTGACCCTGGAAAAAATTAATAAGGTGTTTTGGTGCCTGTCAGGGAGTTGCCAATGGAAATCGGGGTCAAAATGGTATCGTGGTTCCGGACTTAATTAGATAGGCATCTTTTTTTGAGACAAGTTACTGTAAAGAGTGGACATTGGGGAATTTTCTACATTTAGTTAAGAAGAAAACAGCTTTAAGATTTGCTTCTCCATTCCTGGGAAATAAGTTATCTACATGGCTTTGGATTGTGCAGCCAAATGTCTCTGTTTTTTCACGGTATGTTTCACAACATATTTGTTACGTCCAGACATAGAATGTTAGAATTAATCAAAACTGAAACATTTGTAGAGAAAGCCATTTCACGTCCATCTTTGTCATGAGACTGGATGCTCTGATAGGGATTAGAGGTTGTTACACTAATGACTTAGATTTTTGTCTTGTTGCCAGAACAGTTTCCCAATTTAGAACCTTTTCTTCTGATTAATATTTGTATTCCTCCCACAATTCCTCTTCTTATAGGAATTCGTACTGGGAATTATTCCAGACCTACATAATGTCTCTGAAATCTTTTTATCCCTCTGTTTGCTGATCAGTGGAAAGGATTTTAATGCCAGGTTAGGTAATCGAGATAAATCCTAACTTCATCTAACTTTATCCCTCAACTATGTCTTGGATATTCTAGAAACATTTTTTGTGATCCATAAATAAATTCACATAGGATTTTGATTAATCTTTTTTTTTTTTTTTTTGCTCTTATTTTTCCAGTGAAGCCTCATTACATTAAATGTGAGATCAAACAGAGTGTATTACAACTTCCACTATTCAATTTGCACTAGTGTGTTCAGTGCAACACTTTTTTGGGAGGTTGAAAACATCCGTAAGCTCCAAAGAGAAAGAAGCAGGGATGGTTTCTACCTAATAATGTTTTCTAGCCCCACTCAGTCACTCAGTTGTATTAATGTGCTCGCATAGCAATGTAAAGTGTACACTGATTTAATTCACTTCACTTCTCACTGTAACTTCTTAGAAAGAAGATGAAGTTGTGCCTGTTTAGAGCCGTTCTCTTGCAGGCACTTGGAGCCAGCAAAGACCTGGACGCCTGTGCACATTGCGAGAGGTAGGGCTCCTGGCTCTGAGCACTGCGTCACAGCACTGCAGTCCTGCAGGCTGATTCCCTGAGTTTCTGTGTGTCCGCGTTTTGGAACATTTCATGGCCACAAGCCAGCCAATTCTCATGCACTGGGACAAGTATACACCTAAGGAAAAGCTTCACAAAAAATATATCCCAACTAGAAAGCTATTTGACATCACACTTAGGCAACAACAGAGAAAAAGGCTACAACAGAGAACAAGGCTTGAGCTGGTATCTCTTTAGCCTTTTTCTTTCAACACTCCTATCCTGAAACCTTCTGCTGAAGTTAACCCAGAAGTCAGAGCTTCCTTACCAAGAAGAAAACTTTGGTTTGAGAGACTGCCAAGTGACAACTTGCTACTTCGGAGCCATCAGGTTAAATGAGCCCAGGAAAGGTGGTGGCTTCAGTTCGTTAGGAAAACTGGACTCCATGTTACCCTTGACAGTCCTAACGATAGATAGGATGGAAAAAAACCCTCCCTTGCTTTGACCCGGAGTTGCTCTTTCCTCTGATGGTTCATTGATTCCCTTTGCTTCCCTTCTCATTTAACAGATTTTATAAGTTGGGCATTTACAGATCTGCTGCTATTAACATTCAGTGTTAGTGGACCCGAGAGCTTCTTTGCCAACTATTCCGGAGCTTCTGAGCCTGCTGATTTAAAAATGTTCATTGCTGATAGATTCTAACATCTTTCTCAGTTACTAATAGACTGGAAAGTATTTCATCATCTTCAAGCAATGAAAGCAAATCATCCTTCTTTCCAAATACTGAATAAAAGTCTGTTTGAACACTTCTGCATTTTCTGCATAATCCTTCACAATTCTACTGTCTGCACTGAGCAGTGACCCTGTACTGTTGCTAGGATTTCTTTTGCAAACACAACTTTCTTGTACTAAGCTCTGTCAGCCATGGATTTTATTCTGAGGTTTCTTTGTTTCGTGCTTCTGTTCATGTAGGTCAGGAGTTTTCCTGGCTATTGATTTACAACGAGTTATATGCAGTACTAGTGTTTGACATTTCTGTCTTTGTTTTTCTTTGCTGATATCACTACCAAACTTTTAGCATGTGAGTCAATTGTTTTAAAATTACGTGCTGACTGCCTGACTCAGTCTGTTAATTTTTGCCCCCCCCCCTTTTTTTTTTTAAAGTGCCAGGTTAAATGCTAAATGGCTTGGAAAAATGTACCATTTCTCTGGTGTTTAAATATGTATATATATCTTTGTATTATATATTTAATAATATGTACATATACCCCCCAGTAGCAGTCCAATATAGTCCACTTGTGACAAGCTGGATTCTTTTAATATTTGAAGTACGGGCTTTAAATTTAGCAAAGGAGTAACCCTGGTGAACGATTCTGGTGCATTTTGCTTTTTTTCTTTTTTATCTGACATGTCACAAATCTCTCATTGTGTTACTTTACGTGTTCAGCTGAGGCTTGCCAGTGTTCAGCGATGTATTCCGCGGAGACCTTGTCCAACAACAAGCACCACTCCTGTCTTCAGGCACGAGCAGGATTTTACCTGCAATGCACAGCAGAGGAGCCAGCACGTGCTGGCAGACCTCAGAAGCAATGCAGATAGGAGGATGTAGAAGGTAAGTAATTATGAAGTAGGAAGAGGAGAAAAAATAGCTGGATGCACAGAGGTGGGGCCAAGGAAAGTCTATAGGGTAGAGGTGGAAAGATCAGTGCTCGTTCTATTGTGTTCCCTGTGAAGAATGTGGAACAGAGCCCAGCACCACGCGGTGCCTCCCATGCAGATCTGGCAGCAAATACATGAAACCACCAGCACAGCATGTCTGTTCAGACACAGTCTACTTAAGGTCTTCATAAAGGATGACAGCACCTTACTGTTCTCAGGAACCTTGTTATTTGCAGCTCTCGGGCCTCAGAAGGCTATTAGGATACTAGAATTGCATCTTTTCAGCTGCAGTGCCTCGGGCACAGCTCTGTCTGGGCAGGGCTACCTGTGCTCCTTCTGCCTGGAGAGGCATCCTGCTACAGCTGCAGCAGGGCTGGAGGGAAGGCAGGCAGTAGAAGCGGCAGACTTACAGATTGTGGCATGATCATTCGAGTTCAGGTGGAAAATCTGCCCCCACGCCCCCCTTTCAAAAACTGTTTATGCTCCCCAGACTTTCATATCCCTTGTGCTGCATCAGCTTATGTTAGAGATCCTCATCCCTTCATCAAAGCTGTTATCTCTTGTTCACACCAGCCTCCTGACACCACTCTGCTGACCCTGTACAGAGTATACGAGCAGGTAAACGTACAGAATACATACACAGAGCAATACCTGCACACAGCTACTTCTGCGTGCAGTAGCAAACTCCCTGCACTAGTGCTGTATCCTCTCCCTCTGTTTGCTTGTGTTTGCTTTGGGTTGCAGATTTCTGCAACCACAAGCTGTTAATTGACAGTCCAGAAAATTATCTAGGAAAGAATATATATTTATATTGTGTTGTATTTTTTTTCCATAGCACCCACTGCAGATGACAAGATGAGAGCAGGGAGAGTACATGCCTCTTTGATTTGTCTGAGTAGGTAGGTTTTTTGTGTTCTTTGTACCTTAAAGCCCAGTGGCTTTCTTTTCTCATAACTACAGTTAAAGCACTTTCAATCTGAAGGGCTTTTCTGTACTGAACCTTTGTCTTGTACTCGCACCACTGTATCTCTTCATTTTCATTAGTAGCAGATGGAGCATGAGTCCCAGTTCTTTCTTTCCATCCTTCCTGCCAAGAGATCTCTGGTGCCTAGGCATATTTTGCGGATACTTAATCTTGTGCTAGTTTTCATCCAGTGATTTTGATTAATTTTATCCGTGTACATAAAATTACTTTGTGAGTGACACTTTTCATTAAAAAATTCTGTTGAAAGTTAGGTTTACTAACCTGATTCTGGTGAAAACATTTTCTGCTTACTTTTTTCAAATTCGAACCTCATTATTATTTTTTTGTAATCCACTTTTAATTGTAAGTACCCAGCATTCTGCTAGTTCACGCGGCACCAAATGACACAAGGTTGCTCTGGAGTGCTCCAGTGAGCATCTTCTGGGGAATATTGAAATTCCATGGAAACAACATGAGCACCATTATCTGAAACAGCCTCTTCAGGCAAACCATATGGGGTGAAATATTCTGCGCTGCTTCAATAATCCGAGCACAGATATGTTCACTGGTAACTCTGCAGTAAGCATCACTCATTTGCTTTGTCTGTGCAGTATTAATGAGCCATTTCAATAGACAGCAGGTTTCAACTATATTTGGTGCATATTCATGTTGCTTCCTTCAAGTTGTTTCAAAACTCCTTCCACTAGATTAACTAGAAAGTCGCAGTTACTCTGTCAAGTGCTGGGTACCAAGGACAAGGGCCATCCTGTCCTTTCCAGTCTTGGCTGAAGAGTGAGGCTAATGTTTGGAAGAGAGTCAGTGTGCTAGGCATGCTGCCTTTGCGGAGCGCTCCTTCAGCAGGGAGGCTTTGCTGCTGCTTTCACGACTCTGTGCTGGGGCTACTTCTTTCTCTGCGTGTAAACCCTTCCCTATTATTTTCTGCTTCATCTGCCATACAGGGTTTGTGGTTGCTAGCAAGCAGTGGAGCCTTAAGATACTTCTTGCAGACAGACTCATTATTATGATGGAGGAGTGAGAACATGCAAAACTCAAAATGGGGAGCACGTAGGGAAAGGGTGTATGTTTTGACTAGGCTGATTTGTGCTATGCCTCCAAACATCTCTCTGTGTTGCTGTTGTGATGTGGTCAGGGGAGCTGAATCACTCCAGACATTGGTCTAGGTACCTACGGAGCCTCCCTTTGCATGAGCACAGCATTTTCTGTGGGGCAGACAAATTCTGAAGAACTCAGAGATGAGGCATGAGAACCATACTGCACACAGAGACCTCTGAGGGTGTGCTGAAAGCCAAACAGAGGGTTCAGGTTAGTACTGAAAACCACATGGAAGGTTTCAGGGAGTAGAAAAAGCCACTTAAAATTAAAGAAATCCTTTGAAGGACACCCTTTTTTCTCTGTCAGCATTCAGGAACACAGTCCTTCCTTTATCTTAGTGCCTTGTTCTGATAGCTACATGGAATCTAACCTGGACAGCAGCTGAAAAAACTTACAAATTGATTAGTAAGGTTACTTACAGGTCTTTCTAGGGGAAGACATTCACACCACAATCTTGAACTAACCACTTCCCAAGCAAGGGAACTCATATATTTAGACAGTACCACAAGGATAATGGAAAGAGGCTGAAGGCTGCCAACACCAAACTAGATTAGCTCAAGTGTTTTGGTTGCTAGGTAGTTGGAGAGACAAAGTTGATGTTTTCTTAAAATAGCAGTTCTGTTTTTATATTATGTTCATTTTACCAAAAAAGAGTAGAAAATGAATACATGATTTATCCAGCAGGACTGAACCAGCGATGCTGTGGCTGAGGGGAGGCAGAGGTCGGCAGCTGAGGGCTGGAGCTGCAGCCACATCCTCAAATTGCAGCTGTGGAGTTTGATGCTGTGGTTGTGCTGGGGCTGCTGGGGGAAGAGCTGGATTAGCTGAGTGCTGCAGTGCCTCTCAAGCTGGTGAAAGAGCTACAGGTGAGTGGGTTTTTTCTCTTCTTTTTTTTTTTGGGAAAAATCCTTCTGAAGAGGAGCAAAGACTAGTGGCTAGAACGGATGTCTTTGAGTCAGTCCTACACCCTCTCAAGTCCCTGTATTTCTTGTTATATAATATTAGAAGCAAGTTTTATTGTACCATCTTCTCCTCCTCTCTAAAAAACGAACTGATAACATCGCACCATTTCCAAGGCCATGCTGGCTGGCTCCTTTTCTCACATTGTTCAGTGCTCTACCTGAATTCCTGCTGCCCCTCTAGAGCAGGTACCATGCTGGTCCACTTTCTTTTTGTCTCTGGAAACCGCAGTAATTTTAAGTATTGCCTTTTCCAGGGGCAGACAGCCCTCTGCCTTGGCACAGGCTCTTCTCTGGGGTTGTTGCAGTTCACTGGAGAGGTTTGGCTCCAGTCCTCCCTGCACTGAGAGCTGGGTGCTCTGGGGAGCTGCTCAGGGCTCCCCCAGCTATCACCAGTGAAGGGGGACTGTGGTTGTTGGAGCCTGGGGGAGCCAGAAGGAAGGACGGCTCCACTGCTGCCAGTGTCCAGCTGCCGATGCTATCCCCGGTGTGACCAGCTGTGGGGACAGCTCAGGGTGCAGGACAGAGATGCCATGGCTAGTGCCTGGGTTCCTCTGATGCCCTTGTCAGCTCTGAGGTGTCCCTGGTGAGGGGATGTGCCCATTGCTGGGGCTCCTCTGCTGTCCTTTGCCACCCAGGGCTGTGTTTGGTGGGGAATAATGCTGTGTTTGGCACCCAGTGGCTGTATTTATTAACAATCTTGGGTGTTGCTAAAAAAAAAACAAAAAAGCAAACAGGGTGACATTTCCTGCTTTTGCCTTCTCACGGCTGCTCAGCAGGGCATTTGGGGGAGCTGCTGGAAACCCCGACTCCTCCCAGCATTAAGCCAGTACCCAGCCAGCATTTGCTGAGTTGGAGTTTGCAGGACAGGAGCCTGACCTGGGGTGCTGGGGAGACCCCTGTTGGTCTGATTCTGCCTGCATTTACTCATGAAGAGCTTTTCTTTCAGTGCAAATGATGCTGTTTTCCCACAGACAAGCAGCAGAAGCCCCTGGCAAGGAGCACAACCCAAAGGATAGAAGGAGTGATGGAGGATGTGGGCACAGAAGGAGATAGTCGGGTAAGTGCCCCAAAGTGTTGGCTGACCCTGAGGAGGCTTTAGGGTCCTGGGCACCCCATTATTGGTCAGCTGTGCCCAGAAGGTCCAGAGAAGACCTGGCAGGGATCCCTTGCTACTAGGCAGAGGCCTGGTGATCCCAGGTATGTGGCAGTGGGTGGGGGTGCTGTTTCCAGGGCTGTGCAGTGGCAGCACAAGGTTCTGTGCTGCAGAAGCAGCAGCTGGAGCATGCTCATCACCTGGGAAAGGCTGATGGGGTCAAACAAGCAGGAACACAGATAAATCTGAGCTGAAGTGTATGTTTCCCAGTCACTGTTTGAGAGAAACGCTCAGAGGGCCCGGCACCTCTCTTGCAGGGGCATGGGGGCTGCAGGGGGGCTGCCTCGGGGGGTTAGCTCCTGAGCTGAGGCTGTTTGAAGCAGGGAGTTGGCTTCTGGGCTGAGATCTGCTTCATGTGCTGGGGTTGCCTATGGGCATGTCTCATTGGGCTGGCTGGGACTAAAGGTAACAGCTGGCTTGGCCTTCCCCTGTCAGATGCTCTTCGTTGCAGATAAAAGCTTTTTCTGATCATTTTGGTTCCCGTGGCTGTCAGGGTTCTAAAAATTGCAAAGGCTGCCACTGTGGGTCAGCCCTGTGGGATGTCTCATCTTGTCCATCTGCCCCAGGAGCGGGTTGGCAAACCGTCCTCCATTCCTAAATGGTAAGAACAAGCATCTCAGTGCTTGAACTACAGCCCACTCAAGGTGGCAGTTGTGCTCTTGCGGGTGCCCTGCACTTTTGGGTGAGCTTTTGCCTGCCTGGCTGTGGATCGAGCTGCAGCTCCTGCTGGGGATGTGGAGATGTGAAGCCTTGGGCTTGGCTGGGACTGCTGGAGCACAGGGTCACAAACCCAGTGCAAATCTGCATGCCTGCCTCTGCTCTGGGGAAAACAGGAGCCTGAGCACTACTGGTTAGAGCCGAAGTGTCTGGAGTGCCTGTCCTGCTACTTCTGTATTAAAACCCACCTTTTCTTTTCCTAGATGCTTGCTGCTAAGAATAACTGTTCCTTCACCTCTTGTCCACCCCTCCGCCAGCCGCTTGGGGTCACCATTTTAGACTTCATCCTGGAGCTGCAAGAACTAAGCGGTCTCGTTTTCCAGAGACCTTGTTTAAAGAAAAGAACTGGATTTTGCCTTCGTTTACCCCTTGAACAGCGGTCACGGGTGGAAGGGGCTGGTGGTTGCTAACTTGCTCTGCCCCCTGCAGCCCTCGCTGGGGAGATGCACCACAGGAGATGCTGAGCAGAAATTAAGCACGATGGCATCACAAGAACAAGGTTTTGCTCTTGGAAATAAAAAACGGGGCAAGCCACAACTGAGGCAGTGTGAATTCTGGTTTATTCAATGCATGGCTTACTTAATCCCTGCTAACAGATCACTGGAGCAGGGCTTCACTCCTGATCACCGACTTGTTCCACAGTTCCTGCACCAGGAAATCTGCGCTGTGCTGTGCAGCAGCAGTTGTTTCTTTGCAGTGGTGGGGTGCCAGAAGGGGCTGTTTCTCCTTCTTCAGATATGCTCCCTTCAGCCTGGCTTGCTCTTTACTCCATTTTACAAGGCCTCAGCAAGCATGGCTGGCTACATACAGAGTACTCCTTATTCCAGTGTGCTTCATAAACATTGCCATTAAATGGACAGTAAAAGGCATTTATTCACGGGAAGGGCAGCAGGGCACCTGGAAAGACAGGGGCCATGGCTACTTGACTGGAAGTTACACAGCAATTGCTGCAGAGACTGAGTTGTGTGATGGCAGAAAACCCTGGTGGCTTTTTGTTCCCACATAACTCACTGAGGCTGGGGAGTGAGCTCTGAGCCTCAGCTGCTCCCACTGGGCCCTGCTCATCTCTGCACTTGAGTCTCATCTCATTGCTATTTAAGAAAGGTCTTTAAAAAAAAACTTCCTTTATTCAGAGGCTTTTAAGAGAAATCTCCAAAAATATTTTGTTTAAAGGGCAATGAGATGAGGTTTAAGTGCAGAGGTGGGCAGGAGGGAGCAGATAATGGGGCGAAGCCTCCCTGGAGCAGCTGAGGCTGCCAGACCTCACTCCCCAGCCCAGGTGAGTTGTGTGAGGACAGCTGTGGGTTTTCTGCTGCCACACAGCCCAGTCTCTGCAGCAATCACTGTTCTTAAAAGCATACTGGATGACTAAGTGTATTACCAGACCAAACCTATTTCCCCAAAGGGAATCCTCAAACTTATTTGTGTCTCCCACTCCCTACATCACCTAAAAGGGCAGCTGCTGCTTTACCCAGCACCTTGGGCACAGGCAGCCAGCACCTGCTGGGAGCTGCAGCCAGGCAAGGCAAGGAAAACTTCTTCCCCAGGCAGGTGGCATTGGAAAGGGGGCTGCTTGTCCATTCTCTGAGAAGGTGAGGCTGAATGCACATCCTGACTGCCTTGCTGAATTTCTGCTATTGCTTGTTCAGTGTAGGACGTGTTACAAAGAAAAGAAGACAGCTCCGTTACCCTCATCTTGCAGCCCTTCCTCAGGCACCCAGCCCTTACTCCAGGCTGCTCTCAGGACTGAAGCAAGGACCGTGTCTCCTCTGACCATTGCCTGGGCTCTGCTGGGAAAATGGGCAGCAACCCATGAAACCCATGAAACAAAACCAGTATCAGTAATCTGGCTTTAGCTGCTAAAAAACAGGTAAAGTAAAGAGATGAAAAGGCGAAGTGAAGGTCTGGGGGAGCCTTTCCCTCCTCCTGTGCTGCCTCAGGCTCTGATCCTGCAAGGAGAACGTCCAGAGCAGCCCCATTCACCATCTCTGGGGTGAGTCCCACTGAGGGCTCCTGGGGGTCCCAAATAAACAGAGGGACTTGGGTAGGAGGGGGATGATGACACCAAAAAGCAGCTGGATGTCCCTGAGGGGAACCAAAAAGAAAACAGAGGACCATCATGGGGACATGTAGAAAGAGATGAAGGGCTCTGAGGGCCAATAAAAGCAGGCTGGGATTTACATGGGAGCACCAAAAGGCAGATGAAAAGCTCTAGGATGCCCCCAAGAGGTATAGTGAAGCCCTGAGGAACACTGGGATGGAAACAGGGGCTCTGGGGGCAGCCAAAACCTCCTGGAGGACCACTGCTGGAGCAGAAGGACAAACAGCAGTGCTGGTTTCCTTCGCACATCTCCATTGAGCTGGGGAACTGCAAAAGCAAACCAAAAGGTCAGGTGAACCAGAGGGAATATGGAGGGATTTGGGGCACTGAGGAATAGATCTCGGATCATGGGGGCACCAAAAACTGCATGTGGGAATGTGGGTGGCACCACGAAAGGACAAAAGTGTACAAGGACACCAGAGGGGACTTTGGAGGAGCACCAAAACCAAACGAGTGGCATGCATAAGAGAAGGAGTCCTGTATCTGTCCTTTCTTCCATGCTCTGGCATCCAGGTTTCAGATAAATTTCAAGGTGTGTAAATGTCCCGAGAGAATTCCCCTCTTGTTCGTGCTATGGAAGAGAAATGTTCCCGTTTCCACTCTGATCTTACAATGGCTTGTCAGTGACAAAACATTCCCAAATCCTCTCATTTATCAAATGGCCAATCCTGTTAACAGCTTAAGAAACATAATTACCTGCAATCTCTTCTGCTATTCATTTTATGCCTACCCTTCCCTCTCACTGGCAGCTTACCAGCAGGCAAGTCAAGAGCTGAAGCAGGGCCGCAGCCACCAAGCGCTTCAGCGATGCCATTTCCTCTAATCACCTGCATGGTGAGCACGGGAGCTTTGCCTCCCCGTTTGTAGCAGCCAGAAGCAGGTGAAGGAGGAAGGCAGAGAGCCAAAAGCATCAGCTAGCACACTGCGTGTAGGTTTTCAAGCATGGCTCCGTTTTAGGTGCTGTTCCACCCTTACAGTGGGAACTGTGTCAGGATACACTTTTAGGGTGCTCGGTATCGCTGCCAGATTTACTTGCCTGGGAGATGCGTGTGCGTGGGTGGGCTCCGAGAAGCAGCAGGAGGGGCTGGTGTGGGCTCAGGTGCTGGAAATGGCTGAGAGCACTTCATCAGGAGAGAGCAGGGCCCAAAACAGGAGTGAGCTGATGAAGCGATGGGGAAATTGGGGTCATCAGGAGACTGTGTGAGCTCCTGATTTTCGCGTTGCTACAACAGACTGAATTTGTCTTATTTCACAGCGCATCTGCAACTTGTATGGGATTTTACACCGATCATATCTCAAGGAGGATTTAGGAGAGCGGTGCTTGCAGGCTGGAGATCTGCTGGCTTCATAAAGGTTGGTTACGTACAGGACAGCTTGAGCCAAGGAGGATCTCCTACGACCACGATAGCTTCCCCTACAGCTTGAGGACTAGAAAGGATCTGTCCCACCCACGCTGGTTGCTGACAAAGCCGCCTTTTGTGCCTTGAAATCTTTTACTAGCCTGACATTATTGTACTTTTAACTGGCCAAGACATTCTTCTGCCTACAACGTCTGTTTAGACCTGATTCACTTCTGAAGGTTTTATTTTAATGCATACTCTACCCCTCTTTTCAACCATATCAGCTATTTATGATCCTTAATGTTTTGGATAAGTGATGTACATTTCTTGTGACACTTTCATATGTTATTTTTAAGCAGTGTTTATGCTTCTTGCCAACGTCTTATCCTTGCAGTTCTTTGAAATTTGTATTAAGAAACCCTATGAACAAACTGTACACAAATCTTTTTTAAGTCAGGCATCATCTTAGGGGACTTTGGGCTTTTTCATAATGCTAAGATACTGAATTCAAGCATATTTGGTCACTGTTGTAGAATAACCCTTTCCTATTAGCATTTTGAACCTTAAGAGCTGAATAAGAATTCAGTCACTGGTGGTGACCTATAGTTGGTACAGCCTGAACATTACCCAGACCCAGGAGCTGAAGAGGTTGGGTGGCTCTGGGCTGCCTGGCTGGAGCCTGCTAGGAGCCAGGAGTTGCATAAAAAACAATCTGAGACTTGAAGAGGGTCTGAAGCAAGCTCCTTTCTTGTATTTAGTGAGATACAGCATATATACAGGAAAATTAGAAACTGCAAACAAACACCTAAAGGAAGTGAAAACTGCCCCAATCAAAAAATAAAAATAAAAAATGTAGGACATCTGTGCTTTTATATGAAAACTTGCGATTTCTTTTATGACATTTACTTCAAATCATGCAAGCCCTTCAGAGCAGCTCTAATGCCCACTGGAGTTCTCCAACCTAAATGTCTTGTCGTCAGTGTAAGAAACAAAGATAATATAATTTGAATGCTGGATGCAACAGCGCAGGCTGCTCTCAAGGCTGATTCTCTCTGCTCCAAATGGGAACGATGGCTCCAAACAGGCTTACCAGAACAGACTGAAAAGCAGACATCTCATTTGTGAGGAAATGGTCAATATCTCAGCTTTTTTCTTTCCATTTGTTTCTCCCTGGAAAAAATAAAACAAAACAACAAACAGTAGCATAAAGACACTGCTATTTCAAAGCAAATTTTAAAATATTTCTGATTTGCAAGTGGCGTTTCAGCATCTCTGTAAGAATAGCTGCTGTGGTGCTGTGTTTAAATATTTCATTCCAGCTCCCAGAACAAACTTAAAATCTTATTATGATTTTTTTTTTTTTTTGACATAAAAGCACGCTTCTCTGTGGTACCCAAAGTGTAGACATCTCCAGCTCTCAGCGCAGCCACAGGAGCCCTCCCTGCTCACAGCTGATCAAAGGCAAACCACACCACCACCCACGAGCCACCACTTGTCCCCAACACCCAGCCCAGGAGAAAAAACAAATCCTGAACCTCCTGAGCCATTCTTCCCTAGAGGCAACACCAGCTACGAGAAATACATGTTGCTGTTGTAACCCTACTGTGAAAAGGTGGAGTGAGTTCAGTAAACAAAAGCACTTTGCCTTGGTTCAAATCGTGCTGAAACAAAACATCATCCAGCGCCGGCTGTTCAATTAAACTGTTTGTAGTGCAGGCTTTGGAGAGGAAAATGCTGAAAAAAGGATTTGGGGGGATCATATGGATTGCTTGGAGAAAACATTTAATGAGAAATTTTCCAAACCTCTCTGCAGCTCCCAGGCGCCACCATTCCTCTGCATGTGACACGTGTGTTGCCCTCAAATTCAGAGGAAGGCTCACTCAGTGTGACTGCGCTGTGACAACAACCAGGACGTGTGTGGGGCTGCCTGTGGGGGCATCGGGAGGTGAGTGTCCTTGTTCGTGTGTCCCTGCCAGGGGGATGCCCCATCCGTGGCCCTGCTGCTGCCATCCCTGTTTTCTGGGGGCAGATAGCTCGGTCCCTGTTAGACCGAGAGGCCTCTCTGACATTTCAGGTAGCATTTCTAAATGCTATTTGCGTCAGACACGTGAACTATCCAAATACAGTACCAGATTTTGTGCATTTCTTCTGCTTTTCACCGCTTCTAGGAAGAGTGGAAATTCCCAATGATGCCACGTGGCTGCAGCCTCCATTTCTTGCTCCCTGCTTTCCCCCAAAGATGCCTTTGTAGACCTATCATTTTCCCTCAGTTAATTCAAAATTACCTGCTTAGAAACAGAAGCCAAAATTCTTTCTCTGTGCTGGCTTTGTTCAGCTGACATTGCTGCTTCTTTCCTAGGTCCTTCCCAGGGCCAAACTCTGCTCATGGTGCCCCAGAGAGCAGCACTCATGCTGCTCATGGGTTTTGTAGTGCAGTCCCTCCTAATGCGTGTTCTGCAAGTATGCTTTTTCACACATCAGTTGTGAACGTTTCTCATCCAAAAGCACTCAGAATATTATGTTTTAGTTAATCCTGTGTGCGGTCCTGGTGTGGGAGCAAGGAGCTGTTGTTCCTCTCCTGGAGGGCCAAGCATATCTTTGGGAGAGATGCTGAGTCTTCCCTTCCTCAGCACTGGCACTTAACCCCAAAATGCCAATTGCCACCCTTCTGCTGGGAGCGGTGCTGCTTCACCTTTTCAGTGCCAGCACTTTGCCATGGAAACTGGTCCATCGTGCCCCAGATTTGCAACCGAAATTGTGATGCTGGACGAACACCAGGACTCCTAGCTTCTCCTGTTTGTTCCCTTGCTTTTCATGGGTACATGCCACGCTGGCTTTCCTGGGGCTGAGATCCTTTATGCTGCTGTGGTGGTGGCTCTCCCAGGGTCCCTGAGGACCCATTTTTTGGTCCCTGAGCATCCTGCCTCCATCACCTGACCGCAGGACATTTCTTCTAGCATCTCTGCCCTTGGTAACACCCTGGTCCCTGGGGTGGGCATAAGGCTGATTCTGCAGAAACCAAAGTCACAGGTGTGGGTGCCTGGGAGCAGGGCACATCACAGGTCGTGTTTCAGGAGATGACAGGGATACTTGCTAGCTCACCATACAGCTCCACCCAGCCACTAAACTGCCTTACAGAGGCTTGTATAAGCACAGGCGTGTTTTGCATCTCCGCTGTTCTGAGTAGTTTTGACGGCTCTTGATGCATGCGAGAGAGGCCCAATCCAGCACGCAGCAAGGATACAAGCAAGTGGAAGTTAGTGCTTGTGTTTGCCACTGATAAATGTATTAGTCTTTAAAGCGGTATTTAAACTACAACCTTTTTTCAGGCACCTCAGCACTCCGTTATTTTGCAGGCCTTGTAAAGGAATGTGATTTTGCCTTTTAACTGGAGTGTATCTTATGCTAAGCAGTGAGATTAAGCGTAGGGATCCAAAAGAAGTTGCTGAATGGCAGAATTGCCTTTATAAATAACATTAATAATTTATC